TGCCAGATAAGCAGCTTGGCGTTGAGATTGTGCTGTTAGGAGGAACCAAGAAAGAATTCAAAGGGTTTCCTTGCCACGGGCCTCCAGCATCTCAGGCTGGAGAACCTCGGGGGGAAATTACAGGGGGAAGAGGGTATTCCCTGCCTTCACCCCACTTATACAGCCTCCTGAAGAGGAACTCTAGGAACCAGCACCAAAGCAGAGAATCTAGTAGCAGAAACTGGGTGTCAGGGTGTCCAAAAAGCCTCTTACCCTGGAAGATGTATAGCTTAGGGACCACTGTCCCCTCACCCAATGTGGAACAGAGTTCTGCACAGTAAGCACTTGATAAACATGGTGGACAGGTGACTGACAGATATCCATCCACTCCTGTCACATCCCTGCCCCTTCCCAATGCTCTGCATAATTGATGTCTGGGGAGACAGCTCCCCTCCCCCAGGTGACCAAATGTCTGGGCCAGGGGTTCCTAGCCATGTCCTCCCAAAGCCCTGGCTCCAAGGCCCAGCTGGTGTGGGGGGCGGGTAGTGGGGCACAGCTGGCAGGTCAGAGAGAAAGGAAAGGGGGGTGGGGGGTGCTGCTAGAGAGAAATCTCCCATTTACTATAGCTCCCTGGAGCTTCACCCCTTCAGGTCAATCTGGAAGAGTAGTCATTAGCCTGAGAACAGGGCGAGGGTGGATTGAGCCTGGATAGATTCCCTCCCTTTCCCTTAGTCCCATCTTTTTCTTCAGCTGCTCCCACTGCCCTACAAGACAAACAGGTGAAATGGCTTCTCCCTCTCTCCCCGGCTGCTGGCCCTGGATACCAGAGGGTCTCTGGGGAAGTCTGGGGAACCGGAGGGAGGCTGGGCTTCATGGCACCCTCTCTCTGCCTGAACCTCTGAGTTGCCAAACGCCAAATGAAGGCTGAAAATTTCCTTTTAAAAGCCAGGTGTTGTGCCTACTCAAGGCTCAGCGTCTAAACAGAAAACGAATCATCCTGTTCTTCAGTCAGTCCCTTCTGCTCTCCTTTTTCTCAGTGTCTTCTCTGCTTTTCAAAATCAGTTTTTCAATCCGTTCTTCTCAGGTTTGACTCTCCCTGACTTCACGCTGTTTCGGTCTCTGGATCTCTCACCTTGTCCCTCCCGCTCTGGCTGTGCCTGTTGTCCTTTCCGTGTTGATTCTCCCTTCCCCCCGATTTCCTGCTTCCTCTGTGACACTCACCCCCCTGCCAAACTAAGTCCACTCTCCAGCATCGGTCTCCCTCTGCTTGCGCCGAAGATCTGCATGAGGGGCAGAGGGAGGCAGGGCAGGTGAGGGGCACCCACCGAAGCAGCCGGCAGCTGCACGTGGGCCAGCCCGGGTCGGGGGCGGGGTGAGGCGCAGCCCCACCCCCGCGTCGCTGCTCACGTGACTCAGGGCTAATCTGGTCCCGGTGACTTCACGCGCCGCCTCGGGCCCAGTCGTCATGGTTACGCCGCAGCGCCCAGCGCTTTCCTCAACCTGCTGTGTCCCCTCCCCTTCCCGACCCGGACCCCCTCCGCCCGCAGCCATGCGCCACGTGATGACCGGGAAGGGGGGGTGGGGGTGGGCCGGTAACCCTTTCCTCTCCGCCTCGTTTGGGCTCCTAGCGGGCCAGCAAGTGGTCCTGGCTCCTCCTCGATGGCCCACCCCGCCGTCCCGCCCTGCTGGCCTGCCAGGGAGCTCCAGCCTGTCTTCTCAGGGGTTCGGAAAGGAAGCCCCATTTGAGGGCTCTGGTGGCAGCCCTCAGATCCTCTAGGCGCAGCTGTTCTCAACCTGTGGGTGGTACCCCCTTTGGCAGTCCAGCGACCCTTTCACAGGGGTCGCCTAAGACCATCCCGCATATCAGATATTTACATTACGATTCATGACAGTAGCAACATCCTATATAATAAAGGGCTAATATGCAAATTGTCCCCTTGACTGGGAGTTCGACCAGTGGGCAGGGCCGGCAGCCAACCACCCATGGCCCCTGCCCTTGGCTGGTCCAGCCCAATCAGGCTGATCAGGGCAGGCCAGCTGGACCCCACCCATGCACGAATTCGTGCACCGGGCCTCTAGTTACAGTTATAAAGTAGCAACAAAAATAATTTTATGGTTGGGTCACAACATGAGGAACTGTATTTAAAGGGCCAGAAGGTTGAGAACCACTGCTCCAAGGGGAATTCTGCAGCGCACTGGCCTGTGTTTGTCATTTGCATTGTAGTGTACATCTAACGTTGAAGGCGCGCATCTCCTGGGATATGTTGGGGATTTAGAGGCTGGACCTGACTGTGACTTCAGCTCTCTGCACCTGCTTTCTCAGGAATATAAAGGGGCCAGTGGTAATATTTCCTTTGCTGGCTGGTTCTGAGGAGTGATCGGTAGTGTAGGTGCAAAGTGTAGTAAGACATTCCTCTGGGGTGAGTAGAACAGTGGCCCCATCTTACTGAGCACCTGGTGCTGTTTGAGGCCCCGGGATCGATCCCATGCGAAATCATAGCTCTCAGAGGAGCCAGGCGCCCTATCACATGCGGCCGGGGTAATGGGAGCCATGACAGAGGCACAGGGGACTGTGCACAGCAGCAGGGACAGGGAGGAAGACTTCCAGGATGAAGTGAGATGGGAGAGCAAGAGATCCGGCTCGAGAGCACACCTGGGGACCGATTCTGAGCCTCTTCCCAGCTAAGCTTCTTGGGCAGGTTAATAATACCTCTGTCAAATGGGCAAAGGATGCCTACCGTAGAGCTTTGAGCATTAAGTGAGCCAATGTGTCTATGACAGAGGCTGACATATATAGTAAGCCTTCCATGAGAGTAAGCCATTCTCAGCTCAGTTGTGTATGGCCTGGGTGGGTACCAGTAGCAGTAGGAGATGAGGCTGGGCAGCGGCCAGAGCTCAGAGGTAAGGCAGGTGGACCAAATGCAGTGGATCATACTAAAGGGTTTGAAGCAGAAGAGGGGTTGCTAGCCAACTTTTAGTTTTGAGCATTGTCTGATACACCCAAAAACGTTTTGACTTCAGTTCATGGTCAGGGCACATACCTGGGTTTTCAGCTCAATCCCCCATCGGGTGGGTACAGAAGGCAAACCGATCAATGTTTCTCTCTCCCTCTTCTTCCCTTCCTCTCACTCTCTCAAATCAGTAAAATATATCCTCAGGTGAGGATTTAAAAGAGAAAAAAGTTATTTTAAAGGCTGGTGGAGAATGGGTGGGGGGGGGCGGCTTTGGAAGAACTTGGAAACCATTTAAGAGGCAGTTGTCCTGGGTCAGGTGACACAGCTAATAAAGCCTGGATTAAGTAGTAAAGTGGGAGTAAAGAAGAAAGAATAGAATGGCATTGGGTCAGAGCTTTTTAAACGTGTCAGGTACAAGAATCATCTGAGGTGCTTGTTCTATACACAGACTCTGGGCCCACCACACACCCACTGAAAAAGGCTTTGAGAGATGCCAGACGTCCATGTTGATCTGCGTCATTATCTAGTGCAGTGATGGCGAACCTATGAACTCATTTTTTTGGTTGATTTTTCTTTGTTAAATGGCATTTAAATATATAAAATAAATATCAAAATTACACATCTTTGTTTTACTATGGTTGCAAATATCAAAAAATTTCTATATGTGACACGGCACCAGAGTTAAGTTAGGGTTTTTCAAAACGCTGACACACTCAAAAGGTTCGCCATCGCTGATTCTAGTGAGCTCTCTCTGTGTGTAGATTCCTGACATCCCTCTCCTGATGGGACTCCGGTTCTGGTACAGGGTGTTAAGGACAATGAGAGGATTGCTGTCCTCAGGAACCCTCATATCACAGGATTTGGTACTGGATGTGGAAGGAGACGGGCGACTGGAATGACGCCCTATGTCAAGCCCTGGACAAGTTTGGTGGGTGCAGAACTCGTAGCTAGTTTACCCTTTGTACAGTTGGAGAAACTGAGGCTCAAATACAGCTTGCCTGCAGTCACACAGCCAGTACGTGGCAGAAGCAAGGCCAGGATTCAGAGTTCTTAATGATTGCTTTTTAAGTCGCATCCAGCTATGGATTGGGACATATCTTCATTGTCTAGAAAGCTGGGTCTTGGTTTGGGGATCTGGGAATGAGGCCGTGGAGAAAGAGGAGACAGGGTTTACTCTAACTGACCCCTGGGGGGAGAAGCTGGACAGATGGGGGTGAGGCTAAGCAGGATGAAGCAGTAGTCTACAACTGGTCCTGACACAACTTCTGCACCCCCATTGAATGGTTCTGCCTTGTTCCCCAATTGTGCTGGGGAGATAGTGGAGGTGATTGGCTACTGCCTTCACTTACCTGGAGGAAGCCCAGGTGTACATCTCTGAGCACCCTCACGGGAGACCAGATGTGAGCTCTGAGCCCAGGATACTCTCACCTGAGTTCAGTGTTCCTGCTACCGCCTCAGCTGTGTCATGTGTAAGTACATGAGCGGGAGGCCCAGAGATGTCACCTGAGAGTGCTTGGGTGGCCCTGAGTGTTATCACTGTCACCTTTGTGTGCTTCAGTGCAAGGGCCCTAGGTGTGTTACTTTTAGGTGCCTAAGGTTGAGACTCAAAAGGTATATATATATCTGAGACCTTATATGATATGTGTGTGTGCATGTGAGCCTCAAGTGAAAGAAATATGTGCTCCTAAGGCAAATTACAGTAGTCTTACAGTGAGAAGGGACTAGTCTGTTACCATAATACTTGAACTTGAGATATATTTTACCAGGACCTGAGCAGGGCTGTTACCTGTGTCTACGTGAGAATGATACTCAGGTATGTTACCTGTATACCTGAGTATCATTCTCAGACTTGTGTTACTAATAGACACTTTAGTGGAAGCCTGTGTATCAGGTTTCCTAAGACGGGTCCCAGGTGAAACTTGTGAAGGGGGATGGGTACGTGAAGGTGAGACTCAAATGTTATTTCAGTAGGGAGCCCAGCTCCCCAACTTGTGCCTGTGACTGGAGTGAGCATTCTGAGCGGACGCGCCTGTGCTTTGACCATTTCTCTCTCCTTTGTTCCCATAGGGCCCATCGCTCACCGCCACATTGGGGCCTAGAGGCCATGGCCTGCCTCCATGAGACCCGCACACCCTCCCCTTCTTTTGGGGGTTTCGTGTCCACCCTCAGCGAGGCGTCCATGCGCAAGCTGGACCCAGACACTTCTGACTGCACCCCTGAGAAAGACCTGACGCCTACCCAGTGTGTACTTCGAGATGTAGTGCCACTGGGCGGGCAGGGCGGGGGTGGACCCAGCCCCTCCCCAGGTGGAGAGCCACCTCCTGAGCCTTTTGCCAACAGTGTCCTGCAGCTACATGAGCAGGATGCAGGAGGCCCAGGGGGAGCCGCTGGGTCCCCTGAGAGTCGGGTGCCCAGAGTTCGAGCAGATGAGGTGCGGCTGCAGTGCCAGAGCGGCAGTGGCTTCCTGGAAGGCCTCTTTGGCTGCCTGCGCCCTGTCTGGACCATGATCGGCAAAGCCTACTCCACGGAGCACAAGCAGCAGCAGGAAGGTAGGCTTTGTCCACTTTGTCCTCAGGGACTCTCCCCCCCCCCTCCCCCCCCGGTTTCCCTGAGCTTGAGATCTGTTGGACAATCCCATCTAACTCACCTGTTGACCCTCTCTCCTGAGCTTGGCCCAAGCTCCTTATCCATCCATCAGCTACTGACTTCCCAGCTTTTTTTTAGGCCACCCATTTATGCCTTCCCTGTCCCCCCAAACCTAGTCGTCTTGACCTATTTTGGCTACGTTTTTGCCTCACTCTCCTTGAGTCATTTCAGCTAACCCAATCCTCTCCCCTGGGCCTATCACAAGGCCCTGAGGGTGGCTCTCTCTGAACCTTGTGGCACTGTGCCTCCTGTCCACAGACCTTTGGGAGGTCCCCTTTGAGGAAATCCTGGATCTGCAGTGGGTGGGCTCAGGGGCCCAGGGTGCTGTCTTCCTGGGGCGTTTCCATGGGGAAGAGGTGGCTGTGAAGAAGGTACGGGACCTGAAGGAGACTGACATCAAGCACCTGCGAAAGCTAAAGCACCCCAACATCATCACTTTCAAGTAAGGTTCAGGACAGGGGTTGGGGATACTATGCTGAGGGCAGGGACCTACTTGGGCGGCAGGGATGTACTCCACCCTGTTTATTTACTTTTAAAAAATATTTTTATAAATTTTTTTTAATCCTCTCCTGAGGATATATTTTTATTGATATGAGAGGGAGAGAAATATCAATGTAAGAGAGAAACAGCGGTCGGTTGCCTCCTGGATGTGGCCTGACCGGGGATTGAACCCACAACCCAGGTATGTCTCCAACCCAGAATCGAACCTGCAACCCTTTGGTGCACAGGAGGACGCTCCAATTGACTGAGCTACACTGGCCGGGGCTATCCTACCCTTTTATTTTTAAAAAATGATTTTTATTGATTTCAGAGAGGAAGGGAGATAGAAACATCAATTATCAGAATCAGTGATTGACTGCCACCTGCATGCCCCCTACTAGGGATCAAGCCTGCAATATGGGCATGTGCCGTGACCGGGAATCGAACCCTAACCTCCTGGTTCATGGGTTGACGCTCAACCACTGACCACCAGCCGAGCTAACCTACCCTTTTTATTTATATTTTATTTTTTTAAATATATCTTTATTGATTTGAGAGAGGGAGAGGGAGCGGTAGAAACATCAATGATGAGAATCACTGATCGGCTGCCTCCTGCACGCCCCCCATTGGGGACCAAGTTGGCAACCTGGGCATGTGCCCCTGACTGGAATCAAACCTGGGACCCTTCAGTCCACAGGCTGATGCCCTATCCACTGAACCAAACCAGCTAGGACTACCATACCCTTTTTTATTTTTTTATAAATATATTTTTATTGATTTCAGAGAGGGAGAGGGAGAAACACCGATGAGAGAGAATCATTGGTCGGCTGCCTCCTGCACACCCCCTACTGAGGATCAAGCCCACAACCCAGGCATGTGCCCTTGACTGGAATCGAACCTGGGACCCTTCAGTCCACAGGCTACTCTATCCACTGAGCCAAACCAGCTAGGGCTACCCTACCCTTTTTAAAGGAGACACCCAAATGGCATGGGTGGGAATGGGGTTCCAGGTATACTGGGCTGGTTCACACTACTGTTTGGCCCCCAGGGGTGTGTGCACCCAGGCTCCCTGCTACTGTATCCTCATGGAGTTCTGCGCCCAGGGCCAGCTGTATGAGGTACTGCGGGCTGGCCGCCCTGTCACCCCTTCCTTGCTGGTTGACTGGTCCATGGGCATCGCTGGTGGCATGAACTACCTGCACCTGCACAAGATTATCCACAGAGACCTCAAGTCCCCCAAGTGAGTAAGCAAGCAAGCAGGGAGACACTGATGTGCATGTTCTCCTGCAGATAACCCCACCCACGTCAGTGTAGCCATCTCCCTGCTTCCAGACCCTGTCCTATGTCCATGTGGCCATCTCAGAAACCCCTCCCAGGGACAGTCCTATCTCAGGAGGGTTGTGGTGAGCCCCCTGCCTCTGGGTGTCCCAACTGATTTAACAGAAAAGTAGAGTTGCTGCCCTGGATGAGGTGTGTGGAGGGGCCTAAACCCCAGCTGATTACACTCTTTACCAGCATGCTAATCACATATGACGATGTGGTGAAGATCTCCGATTTTGGCACTTCCAAGGAGTTGAGTGACAAGAGCACCAAGATGTCCTTTGCAGGAACAGTAGCCTGGATGGCCCCTGAAGTAATTCGTAACGAGCCTGTGTCTGAGAAGGTCGACATATGGTGAGGGCCAGGCTGAGGACTGAAATAGCAGGTGGCCAGAATAGGGAGTGTGGGAGGGAGGAGGGTTTCCCGGGCCTGAGTGCAAGTGAAATGTGTTGGTAGCAAGCAGGTCCTTTGGAGGGATCACCTCCCAAGTGATGTCCCCTCTAATCCCCAGGTCCTTTGGCGTGGTGCTATGGGAACTCCTGACTGGTGAGATTCCCTACAAAGATGTAGATTCCTCAGCCATCATCTGGGGTGTGGGAAGCAACAGTCTCCATCTGCCTGTGCCCTCCAGCTGCCCAGATGGCTTCAAAATCCTGCTTCGCCAGTGCTGGTAAGAGTGGCCTGGCAAAGCTGGGGAGTTAAGGGGTATGGCTGATGGTTAGCCAGCATGTAGAATCCAGGCATTCAGGCCTAGAATCCTGAACAGGGAAAAGGGGACAGCGTTGCCATAGATGGCTCTTGAAGACCCCAGGATTCAGACCATGAATCCAGGAGACTACAATGTAGAAATGAGAGGCGGTTGATCAGTAATCTGCATGCATGCATTCGATTCAAAGCCACAGGCTTTCTGTGGCCATGGGCAAGCACTACAATTCTTAGAACACAGAAGGGAAGAGCCCTAGTCCCTTATTTGGAACCTAGACCCCAAAGGAAGGTTGAACATTTCCCAAACTGTGTTTCTTTTAACGGAGTCATTAGGGAAAAGGTTGTTTTGACAAGCAAGTTGAAAATGAATAGGTTTGCTTACTGCAGAATTTCGATATGCTAACAGATAACAGACTAGGGAATTCTTTTATCAGAGTACATTCTAGGATTGGATTCATTAGGACACTGAGAAAGGATGCCCTAATTCCTTTCTGGTCCTCCCTCAAATTCCTTTCTCTAATGCAATTCCATTCCCTCCAGGAACAGCAAACCACGAAATCGTCCTTCATTCCGACAGATCCTGCTCCATCTAGACATTGCCTCAGCAGATGTCCTTTCCACACCCCAGGAGACTTATTTTAAGTCCCAGGTGTGCTGTGGGTAGGAAAATGAACACCTCACCTCCCTCTCTTTGAGGGGGGGCTGGGAAGGGTTGATTGGGTTGGAATAAATGTGCTTTGGGGGGCTGAGACCTGGTGTTGGTCAATCATGTACTTCACTCCCATGTTCCTCACCCCTCATTATTTCTCCACCCCCAGGCAGAATGGCGTGAAGAGGTAAAGCTGCATTTTGAAAAAATTAAGTCAGAAGGGACATGTCTGCACCGCCTAGAAGAGGAGCTGGTGATGCGGAGGAGGGAGGAGCTCAGGTGTGTGCCTGTGTTTGGAAGGGATTTCAGCAACAGCAGGGACCGTGGACCAGTTCCCAGGGACTGGGATCAATTATGGCACCCAGTGAAGACAGCTAACCTCAGGGACCCTTCTGCTCATTTCAGACATGCCTTGGACATCAGGGAACACTATGAACGGAAGCTGGAGAGAGCCAACAACCTGTACATGGAACTTAACGCCCTTATGTTGCAACTGGAACTTAAGGAGCGGGAGCTCCTCAGGTAACCATACGGCCCTTATGCAACCCTAATCCCACTTTCATGAAGCTGTGCCTGACTCAGATGCTACTAAGCCTGGGTCCCCCTTCCTGGTCACATGCCCAACTCAAGTGGTGTGTGTCTTTAGGAGGGAACAAGCTTTAGAGCGGAGGTGCCCAGGTCTGCTGAAGTCACACCCTTCGCGGGGTCTCCTGCATGGGAACACAATGGAGAAGCTCATCAAGAAGAGGAATGTTCCACAGAAGCTGTCACCCCACAGCAAAAGGTAAGACCTGAGTTAAGTGCTGAGGTTCAAAATTGGCAAGAGGGATGCAGAAGCAGGGAGTAGGAGTAAAGGACGCCAGGAAGACTGGTACTGTATTAAAAAGGGGAGAGAAGTGCTTTGTGTACTGCCCAAGGTTAGGGCATGCTTTCAGTTGATAAATTTGTTAATCTCAAACTTGTCCTTCCCCTCTCCCACCAGGCCAGATATCCTCAAGACTGAGTCTTTGCTACCAAAACTAGATGCAGCCCTGAGTGGGGTGGGTCTTCCTGGGTGTCCTAAGGGTCCCCCCTCACCAGGACGGAATCGCCGTGGCAAGACCCGTCATCGCAAAGCCAGCGCCAAGGGCAGCTGTGGGGACCTGCCTGGGCTTCGTGCAGCTGTGCCACCCCATGAACCTGGGGGACCAGGAAGCCCAGGGGTGCTAGGAGGGGGACCCTCAGCTTGGGAAGCCTGCCCTCCAGCCCTCCGTGGGCTCCATCATGACCTCCTGCTACGAAAGATGTCCTCTTCATCCCCAGATCTGCTGTCAGCAGCACTGGGAGCCCGAGGCCGGGGGGCCACAGGGGGAACTGGGGATCCTGGCTCACCACCTCCAGCCCGGGGTGACACCCCCCCAAGTGAGGGCTCAGCACCTGGCTCCACCAGCCCGGATTCACCTGGGGGAGCCAAAGGGGAGCCACCTCCACCAGTAGGGCCTGGTGATGGCGTGGGGCTGCTGGGAACTGGAAGGGAAGGGACGGCGGGACGGGGAGGAAGCCGGGCTGGGTCCCAGCACTTGACCCCAGCTGCACTACTGTACAGGGCTGCTGTCACCAGAAGTCAGGTAAAGTATGAGGGTTCTGAAGTTCCTTTTCTCCCTGGGGTCCAAATCCATGAACTCACCTCCCACATTAGGCTATCGTAAGCCATTCCCTCCTTAATGCTTTATAATTATGTTCCCCTTCCCTGGGCCCATTACCTCTTCCCACTTTTGACCAGTCTACTCATCTCTCCTACAGAAACGTGGCATATCATCAGAGGAAGAGGAAGGGGAAGTAGACAGTGAAGTAGAGCTGACATCAAGCCACAAGTAAGTGATGGAGCACAAGAAGTAATGACATTCTTTTGCTTCCTGGGCTGCAAGAAGTGCAGTCAAACTATAGGTGTCTCGCTGACCTATAGGTGGCCTCAGGGCCTGAACATGCGCCAGTCACTATCTACCTTCAGCTCAGAGAATCCATCAGATGGGGAGGAAGGCACAGCTAGTGAGCCGTCCCCCAGTGGCACACCTGATGTTGGCAGTACCAACACTGATGAGCGGCCAGATGAACGGTCTGATGACATGTGCTCCCAGGGATCAGAAATCCCACTAGACCAACCTGCTTCAGAGGTGGTTACAGGCCCTGAACCCTCCTTGCCCATCCAGCACCAGGACCTACTCAGGGGGGAGCAGGTGAGTAACAGAAACAGCCAGTACTGGGCAGGGAAGAGATACCTGGTCATTTGAGAGCTATTGGGGAGATAGATGCAGAGGCCAGAAGATAGGTTTTTTGCATTTTAGTCACTCTACCTGAACCTGTTTTCACCAATATTAAAGAGCAAGATCCACATGGTGGAATGAAGCCTATAGTGTGGCAATTTAGTTCAATAGGCTTGCTTACACAATAGCTAGAAATTGCAGCCAGGGAGGAATCCTGAAATTAGGAGTCTCATGCCTTGGAGAATGGCCTGAGCAACAAAATCTGGGGGCAGTAAAAAGCAGTAAGTTGCTGGCTATTATAACAAAGACTTCAGTGAGGGATTCTAAAGGAATCTACAATACAAGGGATTCTGAGCCTCACACCTCCTTGCATGTCTACTTTTCACAGGGCCCTCCCAATTCCGAGGACTCAGACTGTGACAGCACTGAACTGGACAACCCCAACAGTGGTGAAGCCTTGCAGCCCCCAGCCTCCCTCCCTCCATGAAAGCCACTCTTGTTCTTGTACATATGGAATATTTATATAAATAATATATATATGCGCCACATAATCAACAGAGAAAGACAGGGCTATCCCAGCCTTAAGTCAGGCTCAAGAGACTGACCCCCTGACCAATTCACCTAACTGGCAGCTGTGGAAATGAAGAACAAGGACTGCCCTAGATCTGTGGCTCAGGGCAAACCGGCCCCTCCCTGCTTGGCCCGGTTATGTTCAACAAGCAGTCAGGCAGTAGAAAAGCCCAACTTGCCTCCTATGGTCCTCTATAACCCCCATCCCCCCCCACCCCCAATACCAGGGAGAAGGAAAGGGAGCCACTTAACTGCACTTTTTTGTTTTCCATTTACTGTTTACACATTTTGCACCTGGGAGGAGGGAGGCTAAGGCTGGGTCCTCCCTCCTGAGGTTTCTCAGGTGCAATGTAACTAATTTCTTTGTCTCTTCATTTCTCTGCCCAAGCCCTGGCTTAGGGTCTAGGGGGGAGGTTAGAAGATTGTACAAGCATGTGATGGCTCAGGCTGAAGAACTGGGGTTTTAAGTCCCTGCTTTTATCTTGGTGCCTGATTGGGGTGGAAACTGTCCTATTGTAACCCCTGTGAGAAACCTTGAAATATAACCACTCCACGCAGGCCCAGCTGTCGAGGGTTTTCTTGGTGAATGAACGAGGTAGCATACATGATCAAGTAGGAGCCTTGGACTCCAGACATTATCTGAGGACTGTGGATAAATTACTTCCTCCTTTTATGCTCTTCTCTCTAAATGAACATCACTTAAAGCTCCAACCTTCTAAACTTGTATGCATAAATGGGAGCAGGTAACTAAAGGATGTTAGAAGGCAGATCTTAAAATGCTCCATCCTAATATGGAGAAGGACTATATATGAACAGTTATTAAAAACAAAGTACTGATGTTTTTTAGCTTGGACAAGGGAATAGACATTCCTAGCAACCTGAATCCGAGTCAGACACACTTCCAACAGCTTCCAGGTGTATGCATGTGCATCCTTTCCCACACCCCAACCCCTAGTTGACTGCCTATTCTTTACAGATAAATCCTAGGAAAATGTAACCCCCAACCTTTGAAATCAAGGGCACAGCCAGCTCGCTATAGCTACTAGTCACCTTTCAACGCAGGCTCAAGAGAAAATCCAATGAAGGGCTACTGAAATAAATAAGAATGGAGTGGTAAAACAGAGGAAACATCTTAACTGGAATAAAGGCTTATATTCAAAACCCAAGCAGGGTCCTTGTCCTTTGAGGGATAAAAGGTGCAAAAACAACAGCAAGACAACAGGAATAAAACCCACATGAATCACTGTGGCATCCAGTTTCTATTCACAAAGAAAAAACTCCAGTCCATCTTTTAATTTTTTTGAAAAATTCCTGACATTACAGAACTAAACTGAAATGTATTAATATTCCACTCTTACATTTCCATGACAAACAAACAAAAAAAAATTCATGAGCCAAAAAAAACACCAAAAAAAAAAAAAAAACAGGGAGAAGCTTATAAAACTAAATATGGATCTCAGCATTAACAGCTGAACAGAGAAAGGAATTAAAACGCTTTAATTAAAAAATCACGAGTGGATGATAAAGTGTGTAGAAACTGAAAATTTACAAACTATTTAAAACCTGGAATCGCTGACTGTTCAGAAACTACACAGATGGATCATGGGTGGTGGTGAACAGCAGAAAGGGATTATGGATGAATCTGCATTGTTCTAGCTGCTCCCCATGCCACCCGTCTCCGAAGAAAGCCTGTAACACAAAACAAGAACTCAAAGTTAGTTTTTTTAATGCCCAGCTGCACCTCAACTCCAAATGTTTCAACCTGATTGGTTGGTGAACTGTGAAGTAGAGTTTACGTGAAACAATCAGGTTCAGTAGCAAGGTTTTCTGAATCAGCAAGTACCATGTGCGTGTAACCCCTGCAATCGAAGAAACTTCATGAGGGGAAATTACCTCAGAATCAAAGGAAACTGAGAAGGCTGGGTTACCAAGTGTGGGCGTCCCTCAAACTATGTTCCTCCAGAACCTTTGTAGGAGATGTTAAACACTTTATAGAAGTACACCGTGACAGTAGGTGTATCTTTTTCAAGTCACAAATCATGGAAGCAATGGTTCTTTACTGCCGAGCTTATTTCCAATCCTCCTAAAATACTGACAGAATAATTTAGGAAACATTTATCTGAAAGTAGCCTCACAAAGCTAGTCTGAAACAGATTTTTATTCTAGAACAGTCCTGGGTTTCTCTATCAATAAAGGCAATTATTAACTATTAAGAGATAATGAAGTTTCAAATGCTAAGAGATGTCAAACAGGTAACAAGTATAGTAAGGATCAAGAATTATACTCAAGCTATAGTTTTTATGGTTTTCAGAACTTAAAGGCGGAAGCCAAAATAATTTGTTTCAGCAACTCTCCAGAAGCTCCCAAATCTGTGGTCTTAAGACAAACATACCGGGCTATAATGCCTTTGTTTGAAAACATCATTTGAAGCCCTGGAGTCCAATTTTGAGCTTTGAAGGAAAGGTATGTAGGCATTTGGCCTGCTTCTCTGATATTAGGTAGCCAGCAAGACTTAGTTTCCATTTAAAAGAGAACTAAATCTTACAACTGAAATTTCAGTTCATAAATTTATTTCACAGACTTTAAAATGACTTGTCTAAGTCAAAGGAGCATGAATATTTTCCCATCTGTATCTCTTCTACCACAATGAATGCCCAACAAGCTGGCCAGCTGGCTAGAGAGGCAAGAAAAACCAAGGCCAAGATAAATGGGTCTTTCAACTATGAACTAGTATTTTAGTCAGAAATTGTTATTTCTACCTGGGTATAAAGGAGAATATTGTGTTCTTAAAGAGAGTAGATCCTTGACAATGCCAAAATGGGATATCTAGAATAATGTAAACAACAGGCCCTGAATGAAAATTTAGGTGGGAATTGCTGGAAACAGTTTAGATCTAGGACCTAAAAGAAATTAAATTGATGCAAGAAGGTGGTGGCACTATGTCACCAAAGAGTTTAAAAAGAACTCTTCATGCACACAGCCTGAGCAGGATTGGAAGAGGGAGCAGGTATAAGGGAGATAAAGAATAGGAAAACCCAACAAAAATATTGTTAAGGACTCTATGTGATGGTAGTCAGCCCCTTAAAACATCTGGATTCCTTCCTAGCAATCTTTCTTTAGGAAGAACTTATTAGGTGAAGAGACCTTCTAATCAAGAACTAGATAAAATAAAACCAGGTACCTGGGTGGAGATGATTATCAGCAAGATTAAGTCCAAACTACAGAAAGAGCTTACACCTAAGGGAGAACTGGACTACATGATAAAGGAGCAGCTATACCAACCAACAAGAAAAAGTCTATGTGGACAATTAACTAATGTTTGCCCCTCCCATCCCATGCAGACTTGGGGGACATGTAAAACGAATTCATAGGCCCAATCTGGGATTGAGGGCCACACCACTAATGTAGTATATTGCAATACTCATGAACAATTTGTTTTAACACTATAACATAAACCAAAGGGACCCTGCCCGGTATGGCTAAATGGTTAGAGCAGTGGTTCTCAACCTTCCTAATGCCTCGACCCTTTAATACAGTTCTTCATGTTGTGGTGACCCCCATTTTCACTGTTACAAATTGAACATAATTAAAGTATAGTGATTAATCACAAAAACAATATGTAATTATATGTGTTTTCCGATGGTCTTAGGCGACCCCTGTGAAAGGGTCGTTCGACCCCCAAAGTGGTCACGACCCACAGGTTGAGAACCGCTGGTTAAGAGCATCAGCCTACACACCAGAGGGTCTCAGGTTCAATTCCCGGTCAAGAGCATGTACCTGGGTTGCAGGTATGATTCCTGACCCCAGTCGGGCACTTGCGGGAGGCAACCAATCAATGCCACATCAATGCTTCTCTCTACCTCCTCCCTTCCATTCTCTAGAATCAATGGGAAAAATCTAATCCCCGAGGAGTGAGGATTAAAGCAAAAACAAAGGGAATGTGGGAAAAGGTCATCAGGGAAAAAAACCTCTACACTGGTGCTTTGGGAAGAGCATTATACTTTCATTTGCCCTGCAATTTGTATTCAGGTAGAATGTAATCCTACCAGATGGCTTAAGCCACTATACCTACATTATTTCTACCCTTTTATGGAGAGAGAACTATGGTCTTGGGTAAGAAAAATAATAAGGCTTCCGGGAGATTAAGTGCATTTTTAGTTGTTAGTCCTCACTCGTCATCCCTGTGATTTGCAGATTTAAGTTTTCTTAGGGCCTCTATTTTTTTTTAACCTGATAAATGAGTAGATTGATGAATTACAATTGATATTAATGGTTCCTTCCAAATTTAAGTCTATAATTCTCTACACATGATAAATTAAGGAGGTTGGTGGGGGGACAGAAGGGTATAAGCAAGGAATAGAAAAAAAGATAAAGTCTAGTAAATTAGGGATGATTTAGGATGACTGGACAAAATCCTATCAAATTTGGGGAAATGTCACAGGTTGGTTAAGATTTACCCAATGTCATAGGAAGAGGACTAATGCTAATTCAGAGGAATGCAGACATGCTGGCAAACTTGAGACTTAAACTTGCCTCCCCATTCTTGGTAAAGAAATAACTTCTTTGAGTAACCACTCATCAGCAGAAACAAGCCTGGGATGGACACCCCTGTTACTTGCTGCTTTTGGCAAGGTAAGGGATCTGAGAAATCAGAGAAAGTAATCTTCACTAAGTAAACTTTTTGCCAATTATGGAAGACCCTCTGGATTTAATCTGCCACAGGCCCATCTCCCTTTGTGATGAATGACAAAGGATTACAAAATTAACCGGGGATACAAAGAGGTCCGGTCAGTTTTATAGACTCCCTAGTCAAGCCACAGGTCACAAATTCCCACCCCTTTACACTTCACAGCACACAGTCAACTAAGGTTCTTACTGTGGCAACTTTATTATAGCTAGAAACACAAATCTGGCCAAGGCCAGCTGGTAACTTAACCATTAAATAATAATAATAAAAAGATTAACGGAGAAGCTTTTATTCATTAACACAGAGCCTAACACATTGTTATATTGCAAGGCAGAATAAAGCTACAAAAAAGTAACAGAATGAGAAAGCAAGAACTGTGGCTCTAGATAAAATATTCAACAAATCAGACTCAGAAACAGGCACTCAGCTGAAATGGCCTAAACCTACACACCGTTACCATTGCCCCCACCCCCACCCAGTTATCCCCCAAATAGTAAAAAGGAAATGTCACAAGCTCACAATTGTTTGATTCTCACCAATGTTAACAAAGGAAAACAAAGTGAACCAAGAATTGCTTGAGGGAGTGCCTCAAGATATGCAATCAGTAGGGGGAGAATCTCTGTTTCTCGCCTTTCAGTTTGTTAGTTACACATGGCACGGCAGAGGTGGTGGTGGTGGTAGCTGAAGCCCCGGTACCCTTAGCAGCAGACACAACATTTAGAGCCAGGAGAGGGATGGGTTTCATGCCAAGCAGACTGGAGACACAAGGGGCGGTCGGAAGAGGGTTGGGGAGGCTGGAGGGTGCGTCGGAGGTCCCCGCTGTGGCGAGCGAGGGGGTGGTGGTGGAGGAGGAAGAAGAAGAAGGGGTGGAGGGTT